AAGAGACTCTGAATCTAGGCACACAGCATAGAAGAGCAAATGGAAGATATGAGGAGGTAAAAGAGCTGAATAGAAAATTTCAAAGGGCAGCTCAGGAAGCTTTACACAGGAAATGTGTAAAGATCTGTAATTAGAAAACCAAAAGGGAAGAATACATGTAGTGTTTCTTAAATTGAGGAAACTGAAGAAAAAAAATCAAACCTCAACTTGAAATATTGAAGGATTCTATGGGCAAAGTATTGAATGGTGCTGAAAACATCGAAAGAGGATGAAAGGAATGCATATAGTCACTATAACAAAAATAAATGGTCAATGTTTAACTATTTCAATATATAGTATATATCAAGGGACAATGGTACTGAAAGAAGTCTAAAGTGTACTGAAAGCATTGACAAAGAACAAGTCTCTAGGAATTGATGGAATACAAACTGAAATATTTCAACAAATTGATGCAACACTGGAGCCACTCACTCATCTCTGCCAGGAAATTTGGAAGAAAGCTACCTGGCCAGCTGATGGGAAGCGATTCAAAATTTTGCCCATTCCAAAGAGAGGCAATCCAAGAGAATGTGGAAATCATCAGATAATATCATTAATATTGCAATCAAGTAAATGGCTACAAAAGTACATTGATAGTGAACTTGCATACGTTCAGTCCAGAATCAGATCAGGATGTGGAATGAGGGATATCATGTTGACATCTGATGGATCTTGGCTGAAAGCAGAGAACACCAGAAGGCTATTGATTGTGTGGTTCTTAACAAACTATGGACAACATTGCAGAGAATGAGTATTATGGAACACTTCATTGTGCTCCCGAGGAACCTATTCATATACCAAGAAGCAGTTGTTGGAATAGAACAAAGGAATGCTGAGTGGTTTAATACAAGGAAAGGTGTGTGTCAGGGTTACATTCTTTCATCATACCTTTTCTACCTGCATACTAAGCATATAATTTAAGAAGCTGGATTATGTGAAGAAAAAATATGGCATCAGATTGAAGGAAGACTCACTAACAAACTGTGATATGCAAATGCTATAGCCTAGCTTGCTGAAATTGGAGAGGACTTAGAAATAGTTACTTATGAAGATCAAAGACCACAGCCTTCAGTATGCTGTGCACCTCAATGGAAAGAAAACAAAAATCCTCACCACTGGACCAATAAATAAAATTATAGTAAATGGAGAAAATATTGAAGTTTTCAAAGACTTCATTTTGCTCAGATCAACCATCAACACACATTGTAGCAGCAGTCAAGAAATCAAATGACGTATTGCAGTAGCCAATTATGCTGTACAAGAACTCTTTAAAGTGTTCAAGAGCAAAGATATCAGTTTGAGTACTAAGACATGTCTGACCCAAGCCTTGGTATTTTCAATAATCTCATATGCATGTGAAAGTTGGACAGTGAATTAAGAAGGCAATGGAAGAACCTATGCATTTGAATTTGGTGTTGAAGAAGAATTCTAAAATACCATGGACTGCCAGGAGAACAAACAAATCTATGTTGGAAAAAGTACAGTGAGAATGCTCCTTAGACCTTTGGATGGCTAAACTTCATCTCTCATACTTCAAGACATATCATCAGGAAGTTCTATTCCCTGGAGAAGGACATCATGGTTGGTAAAGTGGAATGTCAGTAAAAAAGAGGAAGACCACCAACAAAATGGATTTACACAGTGGCAGTAGCAATGGGCTCAAGCACAGCAACAATTGTGAAGTTGGTGTAAGACTGAGTAGTGTTTGGTTCTGTTTTGCATCTACAACAACATATGTGGGTTGCATTTTTGGATGGTATTTTTTGTGTCTTGGTGTCAGCTTGTTGTTGATTCTGTTTGGAGAACTCCCTTTCAGCATTTCTTTTAAGTTCATGTGATTTTTACAAATTTCCTTATTTCTGTTTTTCTTGGAATGCCCTGATTTTGTCATCATGCCTGAGGGACACTTTTGTTGGATTTACAAATATAATTCCTGGCTGGTATTTTTTTTTTTTTTCTTTCTTTCAGTGTGTTGTTATATGTGTCATCCCACTGCTTCTTGCCTGTATAGTTTCTGCCATAAAATCAGAGCTTAGTCTTATTGGTTCTCCTTTGTAGGTAACTGTTCTGAGAACTCGTTCTTTGTATTTGGTTTTTTGAAAGTTTTGTCATGATATGTCTTGGTGATTTTCTTTTGGTGTTTATCTTTTTTGGGGTTCATTGAGCTTCTTTAATGCTTATCTTCTCCGTTTTGATAATTTAGGAAAGTTTTCTTCCAACACATCAGCTGTTTTCTTGATGCTTCTTTTGGTCTCTTTTCATTGTGGACGTTTGACCACATGTAAATTACTTGTCTTGATGGTATCACACATAATGAGCAGACTTTTCTTCTTTCTTCATTATTTTTTTTTCTGATTGTTCCTCTTACAGAATAATATGTAGAAATTATTTTTCAATTCCACTGATTCTGTGCTCCAATGATTCAGTTCTACTTTCTGACCTTCTATTGCATTATCTATTTCTGAAATTTTAGTATTAATCTTCTGGATTTCTATTTGCTATTTTTGTCTGGTTTATAATTTTGTAATTATTTTATCAATTTGTTCTTCTATTGCTTTCCTGAATACTGGTAAAGTTTTATCTGTGTTTTCCTTAGTTTTATCTGTGGTTTATTTTTTTCTCTTTCTTAATCAATTGAGTTTTTCCTTTTTTGATTGTTGGCTTTGTAGGATCAGCTTTAGACTGTGAACCACAAAGCTGGCAGTTCAAAGCCACCAGCAGCTCCTCAGAAACCCTGTAAAGTTTGCTATGAGTCAGAGCTTACCACCACCAACAACCTGTTTCTTTTATTTATATTTGTTGATTTGTTTCACGCTGCTTTTTTGTTTTACCTTTATTTTTTTAAATATATCCAGACAATGGGATGTATGTGTTCCTCTGGTCACAAGTTTGGTGTAACTAGGATTCACCATCTAACTTCTGGAGATTTTGTTAGTAGGTAGGAGTGTGTATATGTGTTTCTGATCTCTGGTCATGTAGAACATCTGAAGGCATACTGGGAGGTCTTTTGTTGATGCTGTGGTACTGAGTAGGTGGTGGCACTTATCTGTGTTTGCAGTTATGGCTGGATAGAGTTCATGGATCCTGTCTTCTGGAAGAAAAAAAAAAAAATTCTTGAGGGGGATAAAATACACACTGAAAAAACCAAAAAGGTAGTAATAAGGGACATCTAAGATAAAGAAAAAAAAGACAAAAAAAATGTAAAAAAAAAAATGAAGTGATAACAGTACTGATGCAATCACTAGTGCACCATCTAAAATTCTAATAGAGTTTTTATTTTGAATTCTGTAGAGTGAGTATGGTTTTATCCCATTAGTTTCAAAATAGGATGGAACAAATATGGCAAAGTTGGTGCTCCTATGCAAGGTGATCATGTGAAAGTCATCTTTGGAAAAAAGGAAAATTGTGACCCATTCTATGAATGAATTTTTATTTATTATGACCACAACAATGGTACTGAATACCTTAGTTCACAGAAGACTTGTAATATAGTTTGTGCCCTTATGTAAGATGATGATGTGAAAGTCGTCTTTGGAAAAAAGGAAAATTGTGGACCATTCTACATATGATTTTATCTTGTTGTTACCAAGACAATGGGAAGGAATACTTTAGTTCACAAAAGACCTATAGCATTCATGGTTATGTGCATATATACCCTGGAGTCTTTACCCTATTCAGTTGCTTTTTGAGGAATGGCTTCAGAGCAAGAAGATAAGATAAAATGAACAGATAAGGTGCCTTGGCTTTTAGAAACATCCTGCTTCAATGTAATTTATAAATTGTAACATGATGAGTTTAGAGTAATTTATACATCGTAGCATGATGAGTTTAATTTAAAAACAAATATAAAGAGTAGGAATCAAAACAGCTGCAGATAATTTTACTAAATTATATTTATATTTTAACATTTTATTTTATTTAACAAGATTTATTTAGTTTGTTTTCTTGCACTCAATCCTCATATCTGTACAGGGGGAATAAGAATATACACCCAGCAATTTTACTGAAGATGAATGTCAGTAAAAAACTTAGCTCAGTGACTGACACACTATAGGAGCTCTGAACATGGCAGTTATTATCATGTATATTTTCTTAGTTTTATAATAAGAGGGAGGAAAGAAGAAAGTAAGAATGATTGAATATCTTATTAGCCTAAAATATTGGCCTTTACAAACAGAACTAGTGCAAATAATGTTCTCGAATGCCATTTTGATTCTTTTAACTATTCATTCCAAGGCTGAGCTAAATAATACCAGGCTTTGTGCTAATTATGAACTGTTAAATAAAAACAAAACATCCTCTGCTTTTGAGTTGATTCTGAATAGTTGAATAGATTGGAAATAAATTAAAAATGTAAAGGCGTTGGTATTCACTTTAGTTCCAACTAGTAGTATTTCTTGGTATAATTGAACATTTTATAAGTTGTAATTGAGATGTGTCAAATTGGTAAAATTTTAATATGTGTTATATTAAATCCTATATAAAGAGACATGGTGGTACAACAGTTAAGAGGTTGGCTGCTAACTTAAATATTGCTGGTTCAAACTAACCCATTGTCTCTGCAGGAGAAAGACATGTCAATCTGCTTCTCTAAGGATTATAGCCTGGAGAACTCTAGAGGCAATTCTGCTTCTTCACATGGGGTTCATTTGATTGTACATAACACCAACTATAAATGCCCTATAGATCTACAAGAAAACTATCTGCTTATCTTTTTTGTAAATTTATTACCGATTTGATATATTTTCATTTGAGGATATTGTTATGCTTTATATTTTTCCTGACCTTCCAAATAACTCACATCCTCCCTTTATCTTTCCAATAAAATATTAGGGAATTGAGACAATGTGGGCATGTATTAATTGCATAGATTTGAGGGATGACAAACGATTTCCTCTGCTAAAAATGCTAATTTTTATTAGATTAGACAACTTATTCTTAGTTTTTTACTTGTTTTTCAGCCGCTCCAGTTGATGTACTAAAAGCACTAGATTTTCACAATTCTCCAGAGGGAATATCAAAAACAACGGGGTTTTGCTCAAACAGAAAGAATTCAAAAGGCTCAGACATTGCTTACAGAGTCTCAAAGCAAGCACAACTCAGTGCCCCAACAAAGCAGTTATTTCCAGGTATGTTCACTTTATTATTGTTGTTATTATGTCTTTGGTAATTGTTAATATTTCTTTTCATCCTGCTATATAGTAGGCAGTTACAGGTGGGAATATAATTATATCATGTTTCAGACACCCAAGTAAATAAGGGGTATGACGATGATCTGATCAAAATAACTAGTAATTCAACAACTACCAATTTCCTGTGTACAGTTTGAAAAAATATGCTTATTTGAATTTTTAAATTTTATTTCAGATAGCAAAACAGGAAGATAAGATTTTGTATGTAATCATGTAGAATTTATTCTTGGGGAAATGTGGCAACTTTACTCTTTAAAGATTGCAAGGTTAATTTAACTAATACATAGGTATAGATGGTGCAGAATTGGGCAGTGTTTCATTTTGCTGTGCATAGAGTCACTATGAGTCTGAACTGACACAATGGCGCCGAGCAAAACCAACATGAATTTAGAAATACATAGTAAATAGCTTTCTAAAATTAATGTAAAAGTCTTCTGTTAAAAGAAGTACTTTGTTGTTGTTGTTGTTGTTAAGTGCTATTGAAGATTCAACAAAACTTAGTGACCCTGTGTAGGATTTCCAAGGAATGGTTGGTAGGTTTGAACTACAGACTTTGTGATTCGAAGTGCAGTGTTTATCCTACAGCACCACATCAAAATTCCATTTCTTTGGTAGTGGTCATAAAATGTATTATTTTATATTATCTCTGGATGCTTTTCTTATCTTTAAATAAAAGTCATATGTCAGTTATTGAGAAGTTGATGGCTATAGATTTTGTAAGACTTTACCAGACAATTTTTCATAATTATATTGAAAGTACTTGTTGAATATTTTCTTTTCTTTCTTGAAATTACTAATTACCTAATAACATTATCTAGAAATCATGATGACTGGGGAATGGGAAATGAGACATGAATTAACATTTCTGAGCATCATATGTTCTGAATACCTAATTTATACCATATACTTGCCTAACATGAGGTCTGTCGGTTATTTATTCCTATAATTTTCTTTTAAGCCAGATTCCTCATCCTTATATTGTAGAAGAGGAATCTGAGTTCACAATGCTTACTGACTTGTCAGTGTTATGTTGTTGTTGTTGTTAAGTGCTGTCGAGAATGAGGTCAATATTTAAACCAAGTCTGATCTGTTCCAATGCCAGTATTTTCTCTGTATTAATTATTCTTTTGTTTTTATTTGCTTTGGGTTATTTGTGGAAGCAGCTTATCATTCAAAGTTTTCATATTCTCCTACCTTCTACAGAAATGTAATTTCCTTTGCTTTGCATAAAACTTTCATAATAAAAGCTATTGCATAAAAGAAGAAATTGAAAATGATAAAACAAGTTAGTATTTTTTTGCTCTTGGTAGGAACTTTACAACACACTTTTGGAAGCAAATGTATTTTGATCATTTATAGATTGTTTTCAATATAGTTTCTGTTCTACAAATATTTATGGTAGACAAAAATAACAGACCACAAGTATAAAGCTGTCAATGCACAACTTTTATGATATTAGAAATAAAAAAATCATTTATTAAATATATAATATATTTCAAATTGTAAACAACTACATTACTTTTTATTTTATTTTATTATTCTGATACAGAAGTAAGAAGACGGGCTAAGAAGTTTTAGAGAGAAAAAGAGTAAAAAGGGTTAGTTTTACAACTATGCAAGAAGTTATAATTAATTATACACTTACAGGAGTCCTGGTATGGTGGTGCTATGGGTTAATGCTCTGGACTGCAAAGTCAGTTTGAAGTGCAAGGTCAGCAGTTAAGCTGCACAGCACTTAATAACAACATACACTTAGATTATAATTTATATTTTGGTATGTCATCTCTGGATTATTATTGTGCCTGGTATGGCACTGTAGGATAAGCACTGGACTCCAAGGTCAATTTAAATCACAAAGTCGACAGTTCAAGCCCACTAGCTGCTCCCTATACAGAGTCGCTTTGAGTTGGTGGACCCGACTGGATGGCATTTAACAATAGTTGCATCGAGTTAATTAATTTGATAAATTTGAAATTTTCTGCTGCTTTATTCATGAAGGAAGGACTTGATCTAAACCTGTAGGATCTGTTTTACTCTAGCTACTAGTTGATGTTGTTATTAGGTGCCATCAAAATAGTTGCAACACACAGTGACCTTGTACAACTGAACAAAACACAGTCCAATCCAGCGCCATCCTCATAATTGTTGCTATATTTGACTGCATTTTTACAATCACTGTTTCAATCCATCTCATTGAGGGTCTTCCTCTTTTTAACTGACCCTCCACTTTTCTGACATGTACAAATTATCAGAGAGGAAGTCTCACCATTTTTGCTTCTAAGGACCACACGTCTTCCAAGAAAGATCTGTTCATTCTTCTGGCAGTCTTAGGTGTATCCAGTATTCTGCACTTGTACCATAATTCAAAGGCATCGTTTCTTCTTTGGTCTTCCTTATTCATTGTCCAGATTTCACACGCCTATGAGACAATTGAAAATGCCATGGCTCGAGAAAGGTGCACCTTCATTCTCAAAGTGACAATTTAATCTTTAAAGTTGCTAGAACTCATTTATATTAAAGTTTATTCATTTGTTTTTGTTTCCCCTCACAACATTGTGTCTAAGGCATAGAATTTATTTCATATAGGAAGATAAATCTATACTTATTTTTCTTAATGTTAAATGCCATCAAGTCAGTTCTGACTCATAGTGACCCTGTACAATGTTTCTGAGGAGTGGTTGGTGGGTTTGAACTGCTGACCTTTCAGTTAGTAGTCTAGTGTTTATCCTACAGTGCCATCATGTGATTCAAATTAATTATCTGGATTTTGTTTTAGTGGAGGATTTTTTTTTTTTTTATTATTTGTTTTTATCAATTGCCATTTTGCATTACTTGACAGGAAATTCTACCCTCCGAGGAGACAAGTTTATAATCATTTGCATGGAAAAAAATGAGGTATCTACTATAAATCTATTTTTTTTTAAATAATGAAAAATTCTCCTCATTAAAACAAAATCCAAGTACTTAAAAATAAGTTTTAAAATCTTGAACTATATATATTTGGAGCACTCTTTCTTTCTTCCATTATGGAAAGACATAAGAGTAGCCTCTTCTATTGAAGAAAGCAAGCACTGGCATTGGAAACTTCAACCAGGCATTACTAGGGTGGGGGTGGACATTTTTTAAATACAGTCATTGTATTGTTCTGGTGGAATTTAAGCTGTGTCTTCCAAAGTCCTAATTTGAGACCTTTAATTTAACTGTCTGAAAACTTTGTGCTTTTAGAATAGAAGCTGTAATTTACAAATTTATCTGAATAGTAGTTATGCTCTTTAGAGCACCTTCCATGGGACAGACACTATATATATATATA